TTGGTTCACACCTGCCTTTTCTGTCGTTATGGCCTACAGGAATATCTTATTATTGTAATAGTTCCGTTCACAACAGTCGCTTATTTCTGTCTGCTCGTAAAAATTGTAAAAGTATTTTTTTCTGACAGAATGAGACATCGTATAGCCTCTAATACTCTTGTCTTTCGTGACTACTGGTAGCTATCTATTAGTGTCTTAAATAAGAGACTTTTAACCCTCCTCTCTTCAGCCAGTCTGACAGGTTTTCTGTTAATAAAGTAAAATGTTTTGCTCGTAAATTCTTTTCAGATTCTACTCTTGACTCGACTGGTGTATCGTTGTCTAACTTTCCTCTTCGAATTGAGTCTATTGAGTGATATGCATACAACTCCTTCAATATCATCTCTAAACTGGATCCACACCAAATAAGTTTACTTAATTGTGTCTCAGTATAGTTATTAAGAACTTGACTCCTGTTCTGTCCAAACTCTACAATAAATATCTCTTGTAGGCCCGGTAGGGTGCAGTGCTGGTTTATTACAAAGTGGCCTTGTGCCAGACACCACACTAAACTACCGAGTCCACAAGCAATGTAAAAAAAAAATAAAAAATAAAAATGTAATATGCGTGAATGAACAGTGAGAGGAAAAGGGTCAATCAACGAGTGCATAAATTAATAAACATCAAAGAGATAGCCGGAATAAAATGACAAAGACGTCTGTTTGTAAAACATGTGTAACTTTAATTAGATGGAAACAAGTAGATCTGGAAAAAAGGTTCCGCGCCAAAATAGGAATGCAAAATGGCTAAGGCGGGAAAAAGAGTTTTATAAGGTTCTGGAAAAAGGAAACTCGTTAGACACGAGGTGTATGTGCGCACAGATAGAAAGGAGTACTCACTGTGGATTTTTTTGTCGTTGAGAGTGAGGTTATGCATATTTTTAAGGTACTGGTTCAGAGTCCAATGATTTGAGAGTGTATGTGATTTTGTGTTTTTTCTTTTGTGTTCAGGTTCAAAGTAGGGACTCAGAGTTCGGTAAGGTCTTGAATTAACTGTTGAGAATTTTAACGGAATGCTGTGGGCATCTAGCCAGGAGAAACGAAGAATGTTTGAAGCGAGTTTCATGGTCTTGTGGAGTTGTTTACGGCGAACCCAGAGAGACGAAAAATGTTTGTTCGAAGGTAATAATATCCCTGTCTGTATTTACTGGTTCACTGACGAGGGGTAAGTGTAAGTCACCTGTTGAATACGAAGTTTTTGATCACGACTGTGTCGTGTGTCTCGAAGGTCTTCTGGTCGAAAACGGAGATGGTCTGACCTGCGGGCAGCAAGTTTGTTCGTCAATAAGATATCCCTGTCTGTACTTAAACTTTGGTTCACTGACGAGGGATAAGTTCTGCTTGCGACTGTGTCGCGTCTCGAACGATGGGTCTCAAACGTTTTCTGGTCGAAAACGGAGCAACTGGTTGACCTGCGGGTAACGTCAAGATGAGAAGAAATCTTGGTAAATAAGTGTGAAGTCGCCATTGTTGAAATAAGATATTCCGGCCCGCATATGGGTTCAGGGCACGGAATAAATGAGTTGCCCGTCTAGTTAGGTCGAAAGTCGGGAGGCAACTGGTTGACCTGCGGATAACGTCAAGACGAGAAGAAGTCTTGGTAAGGTGTGAAGTCGCCATTGTTGAGATAAGATATTCCGGTCCGCATATGGGTTAAGGGCAGGGAATAAATGAGTTGCCCGTCTAGTTAGGTCGAAAGTCGGGAGGCAACTGGTTTGCAAACGCTGGCCGTTTTTGAGGAGCCGCGAAACGCGCGGGAAAAAATTCAAAATCTGTTAGTCTGAGTTTATCAGTAGGAGCTAGCGAAGGTTACTGCTATGTCTAGCTGTGAGAGGAAGAAAGGGGTGAAAACAGCGCGCACACACGCACGAGTGTGAAAGGAAGGGAGAAAACTCGTGCGCGCGTAAAATATAGATGGAATTAATGTGTTAATTCCATATATCTTACTACTTCTTGCTTTCCGGTTTGTTGGAAATCCACTTCTGTAATTCCAGTTTTTATTAACTCAAGCGAACCGCCCGACCACACTTACTATCGATCCATTAGTCTTCTACCTCCTTTTGGCAAAATACAGGAGACTCTGATCAACTCTGAATTGGTTAAGCTTCTTCCATCGCAGGGTTTACTTTCAAATAAGCAATAAAGTTTTCGCTTCTCTTGGTCAACCGCTGATGTGGTAACGATTATTTTTATTTATTTATAAGTCTACCATTCATTCATGCATTGGATATTGCTGCCACATCTGGTCTGGAGCTTCTGCTATATATTTAGAGATTTTTGATAAAATCCAAAGAAGAATCTATCTTGAATATTTATAAGTCTACCATTCATCCATACATTGAATATTGCTGCCACATCGGGTCTGGAGCTTCTGCTATATATTTAGAGATTCTTGATAAAATCCAAAGAAGAATCTATCTTGCATATTTATAAGTCTACCATTCATCCGTACATTGAATATTGCTGCCACATCGGGTCTGGAGCTTCTGCTATATATTTAGAGATTCTTGATAAAATCCAAAGAAGAATCTATCTTGCATATTTATAAGTCTACCATTCATCCATGCATTGAATATTGCTGCCCCATCTATATATAGTCAAAGTCAATATACCTGTTCTACAATATATATATATATATATATATATATATATATATATTTGAATAAAAAAACAGACCACGTTAAGATTCCATGTATTGTTATTTCACCATAACCCCTTTAACAGGGTTCTGGATCATCAGACTTTACTTCCAAAAGGGGTTATGGTGAAATAGCTTATTACATGGAATCTTAACGTGGTCTGTCTTTTATTCAAACATATATGCTCTGAATCTTACGTTGAGCTCTCTGGATATCATCCTCCTCAGGTCTACCCATACGGATTACCTAAATTTGAATAAACTATATATATATATATATATATATTAATTGATTTAATTGCTGTGTCTTTAAAACCCAGTAATTTTAAAAGTTACTCCAAAATTCGCTTGAGGATGAAATGGAACTAATGTCTTTAATTTAATTACAAAATTAAATTCGAGCTTTCAGCTTCCATTTTTGAAACATGGTTAGAACTGTGTAGTTTAAAAAAAACATATTTTAAATCAATTAATTTATAATATTAATGCTCTGTAAATTTACATTGAGCACTATTTTGTAAAAATAAAAATATCTATAAGAAGACCGGATTATATATCTTACTGTTCTTTCTTTATATATATATATATATATATACTTTAGTGTATAATAAAATTGAAACATCTAAATATCTTCTTTGCGTTGTAGTAGTTATAGGTTCGGACATCGTGATGTCATTTACGGCTGCGTGTCATTGGAAGTTGCCGACCTCTGCCCTACAACACCCGATGCAAAGAAAGACTCAAAACGCTAGAAGCTATTATTATACAAAATAAACAACTGTTACTTTAGAGATAGACACTCGCGCGGATGCTTCCCCGAACATTATAATCTTAATCTCATCAAGTCAAGCGTAAAAATATTATCCATTCTATATATCCTCATAAACTTCATCTTTTTACCTCATATCACATGCCTCGAGTGACTCTTGAGCCTTGTATTGGGTGAACCTTAGTAGAAAAAACATATTTCTTTTATTTTCAGATATGTTTTAGATACTTATGTTCATACCTTGTGCTACTCTCTCGTTGCAGGAACCAGCACTAGTCTTAATACCATTAAATGGTATGATACCTCTAAATTCAATCTGTGATATTCTTGAAATATTTCAATGTTCTCATCTCTCGAGGCATCCAGATCCGTCGAGGAAAATAAATCTTGATGTAATGTGTATTTTAAGAGACATCCGGCATTCCATTCTCTGATAGGCTGTTGGCATGTGGCTCTGATTAAATCTGCAGGATTCTCAACTCTCTGAGTTCCAAGAAAGTTCTGTGAAACTAACACTAATAAATACCATATTGCCAGCTGAAGTGAGTAATATTGTAATAGTAATAGTGAGTAATAGTAAATATAATATTTACCATAAACGTAAATACAGTAGAATCCCTCATATCCAGAGTCCCACATATCCGGAATCTCTCATATCCGGAGTGCCTTACATCCGGAATCCCGCATATCCGGACATGATTTTGATGTGTATATTTGAACTATTTCGGCGATATGTAACTGATTTCTGTTTTTATGGGAAACTTTGGATAATTGCTTGTGCTTATTTTAACCTAATGGCTTTTATTGGCGCAAAAGATGATGTGAATAAGTAGAAAAGAACAACTTTGGAGTTATCGCAAAAAGTGGAAATTTTAAACAGACTAGACGTTGGTGAAAGTTCATTGTAACTAATGGCTGAGTTCAACATAGGAAAATTAATATTGTATGATATAAAATCATTCAAAGAAACTATTCTCCAGCGTTCACACTGTCCCACTGAAGAAGGAAATTAAAAAAAAACATGATTGTGATGTGTTATTGTGTAGAACCATAGAAAGATAACACGGACTCGGATATAAGGTTAAATAGTAGATTCTCAGAAACGTAGTACAAAAGGTAAATGTGAACTGGAGAGTACTTTCTCTCACTGGTGTCCTGACTCACTCACTCACTCACTCACTCACTCGGTGTCTACTACTCGGTGACCCTCATTTGGTAACCCCCCTTTACTCAGAGTTGGTAGACATATTATATAGGTGTGGAAGAATCCATTTGTAGGTAGGTCCCCACAATATGATGAAACCTGGACTGAAATTGAAAAAACTATAGAAAAAGTTGTCAGTTTCATGGAAAGAAAGCCAGCATTCAGCTATGAAGATTGCAATAACGCACGAGGATTTAAAAAGTGTCTTTTCGTTTAAAAATTTCAAGAAATGCGGAAAAAGTTGAGAATCACTTTAAAAGAGAAAGAATCATCATGCAACAACGATTAAAAAAATCCTCGTTACATTATTTGTTTTGCATACGTGGCAGACTTAATTTAAGGAATTTTCATTAAAATTACATCATTTATTTCTTTTTCCTTAAAATCAATTCCGTTATATTTCACCCACCATTAAATTATTTTGTTTACCAAGCATTGAAAATAAATGTTAAACCTGATTTCAATTCTTTTATTTTAATCTAAATATAACCTCACATATCCGGAGTTTGTAACCAATTCCTCATATCCAGAAGGCCTTCTTAGTTCGGTTGTCAGGTTTTCAACTGTATATAAAAAAACTTACGAAATATTTTAAAACTAAAAGTCACCCAATGCAAGGCCGAAGAGCCACTCAAAGTAATAGTAATATTAGCCCTTTCCCAGTACTGTTTTCGATTGAAATTTATAAAAAAAATCTTTCAATTAAAACAATCTGTTCGTGAAAACAGTTTTCTCAAGTCCAGTAGCTGTTATAGCTCTTTCTAACGTTGATGTTCCAATGTTTTCCTCCTTCTTAACTTTTTATTTGAAGTAGCGTGGAATGTTAATATTTTGATTATGTCATTATTTTCGAGTTACATATCCATTTTAGTTTTTGATTATACTCAAGTGAAGTGATTTCTGTTATTTGGTACAGATCTTTGTGATTCTGTAGCGCCAGTAGACAAATTTTCAAAGAAAGACATTTTTTGCTATGACCCTCAGGCTTCATCCGCTCAAAGAGAGTTACTGATAACATAGTTAGGATGAATCACCTGTGTTATATGAAAGATGTGGCAAGAAGTAAAGATGACGAGGATACGGAAAATAGATAACGATTTCGTCTTGACTCGAAGAGGTTACGATTGTAATTTTCAGTGAATCACGCAGGCAGGAGTCCGTTACACAAAGTAGCCGTTCTTGGGGGGGAAAGGCTGTCTGTGGAACATTCTCTTTATATTCGGAATACGGAGGAAATGGGGATGGTCGCATGGAATGTCCTGGCTCTAAATGTCTGAACTGCATGAAGTAAGAAATGGAGCAAGTACGACTGGGTGCATGGTTATGAGAAAAGAGTAGCATTTCATTGTCTGACCAAGAGGTACTGGACAAAGATGCGCGGATATAAACATTGGTCTAGTGTACGCCGTTTACCTAATAGGTCTGAGATCCATCCCAAGTCTAGGCAATGAAACCCTAAATTCTGAAAGGAATAGAAGCGAATCGTTTCACCTCCGTGGTTAAAGTGAATTTTGCTCGTTTGATTGATTGGTTCGTTTTTTACGGCTTATCAACCCTTTCCAGATTATTTAATACAAGAAAATATTTTTAGGTTGTAATTTTTTTTTATATATTTTGGCGCTAATAATGGTTTACAAGTCTTACTAATTTCTTCTTTTAATTTCTTCGGCTTAAACAGTAGATGGATTGATTCGTTTTTTACGGCTTATCAGCCCTTTGCATATTATTTAAAGCCAGAGAATATTTTTAGAATCTAAGAATATATTTTGGCGATAATAACGTTTACAAGACTTACTAATTTCTTCTTTTAATTTCTTCGTAGATTTCTTTTAATTTCTTCTTGATTGATTGATTCGTTTTTACGGTTTATCAACTCTTTGCAGGTTATTTAAAGCCAGAAGTTATTTTTTAGATAATAAGATATTTTTGTTTAATAGTTTACTGATAAAATATTACGAATTAACCCATAGCTGGAGAGAGAAGAGATGGATTCACACCTTTCCCAAGGGCATTTGCGCGTAAGTGAATATAACGACCCCGACTGGAATTAGAACTGCTCCGCGATTTCCAATTGCCTGCTGTTATGCATTACACCACCCACACATTTGAGCTTACTGGTATTCCCAAGGAGTCACCCATCTGACAAGGTAGAGCATAAAGCAGCCAAGTACTTTCGGTATGGCTACAAGCGATCGACCACGTGTCCGGCATTTTTAGCCACATGAAAAATTATTTGGGTGATTACTGTAAATCTTTTAAATTTGATTAGCAAAATTGAAATCGCTGTGTTAAAAGTTATAAGTGGTAAAGTGCTAAAAAGATATAAGGGTTAAAAAGTTAACTGCAATATTTGAAAATCAATAAGATGATATTTATTACGGAAGAGGAGTTAAATTTCTTATGAAGGGACGACAATTTGTTTGAGACAAGAGTTTATCGTCAAACATAACAAAAAAAAAACACAAACAGAAATCAGACGAAACATTAATAATCACACAAAAATGCTATATTACATAAAATGTAGAAACTGACTACAAATGCAAGGAAATTAAGCATGAAAAATAAACAAAACAATATCAATAAAATGTTTTCAAATTTAGAAAACAAATTCCTTAATATGTTTTATTAATTAAAACAATACGAAAGGAAAGAAAAGTGATTATGACGAAAAATGCAGATAACTAAAAGAGAATATAACGAAAAGAGAAAATAACGAAACGAGAATATAACGAAATGAGAATATAATGAAAAGTGAATATAACTAAAAAAATATAATGAAAAGAGAAAATAAAAAAAAAAAATATAATGAAAAGAGAAAATAACAAAAAAAAAATATAATGAAAAGAGAATATAACGAAAAGTGAATATAATGAAAAGAGAATATAATGAAAAGAGAAAATAACGAAAAGAGAAAATAAAGAAAAGTGAATATAACGAAAAGTGAATATAACTAAAAGAGAATATAACGAAAAGAGAATATAACGAAATGAGAATATAACGAAACGAGAATATAACGAAACGAGAATATAACGAAAAGAGAAAATGAGGAAAAGAGAAAATAACAAAAAAAAATAAAGAAAAGAGAAAATAACGAAAAGTGAATATAACGAAAAGAGAAAATAACAAAAAAAATATAATGAAAAGAGAATATAACGAAAAGTGAATATAATGAAAAGAGAAAATAACGAAAAGTGAATATAACGAAAAGAGAATATAACGAAAAGAGAATATAACGAAAAGAGAATATAACGAAACGAGAAAATAACGAAACGAGAATATAACGAAAAGAGAAAATGAGGAAAAGAGAATATAATGAAAAAGAGAATATAACGAAAAGTGAATATAACTAAGAGTGAATATAACAAAAAGACAATATAACGAAAAGAGAAAATAACAAAAAAAAAATATAATGAAAAGAGAATATAACGAAAAGTGAATATAACGAAAAGAGAAAATAACGAAAAGAGAAAATAACGAAACGAGAATATAACGAAAAGAGAATATAATGAAAAGTGAATATAACGAAAAGACATTTCTTGCAAAGATGCATTTTTTACCTATGTGTCCAGACTTTTTGGGCACATCCTGTGTAGTTTGTTTATTCAAATCAAAGATACACGACAACAGCGCGTTCTCACCATGTCGACACTCTATTTGTTCATTGAGTGATTTAGAATTCACTATGGCGGACGTGGATGGAAAAATCTATTTATTTATTTTTTTAATAATACGCGAAGAAAATCTTATAGATGCATAATAGCATTGATACATTTACCTGAGAGATGCTCTGAATATTACTTATGATGGGCCAGGGATTCCCAAACGGTGTGACATATTTCATAGTTGCGGCGAAAGTGGATATCAGGTGAGGCGGAAGAGGATAGCAGGTGAGGCGGAAGAGGATAGCAGGTGAGGCGAAAGTGGATAGCAGGTGAGGCGGAAGAGGATAGCAGGTGGGGCTGATGAGGATATCAGGTGAGGCGGAAGAGGATAGCAGGTGAGGCGGAATGATTGAAAGACAATCAAAGATTTAGAAACAGTTTCAAATGATTCATATGCCAAAAATAAATACGATTTTTAAAATTTAATATATTATTATGGATTATTTGTAATTGCATGCACGAGTCCCACTATAAATAATTATAAATAATTACTGACCGATTTTGTCATTGCGATGTTTTTGAATTATATCAAGTATTAAGAATATAGTAACTAGGGTCTGTAAATTGGAGGAGAGAGTTATCAATGATAACGTTCTGATGTCGAATCCGTGGTTATCTCCCTTTAAACCAGTCTCTGTTTTTTTTAATGTACTTTTTATTACAGAAAATTTGGTGAGGCGCGATCAAATTTTCAGTCCGAAAATGTGGCCCAGATGTTCATTCCGAAAATGTGGCCCAGATTTTAAAAAGATAGTTTGAGAAACATTGTGGTAGACGAATGCGAGCCAATGTTCTTTTTACTGCATATAAGCAATATCTATAAAGTTTTTGCGTAATTTAGATTTTTAACAACTCTTCTGAACATCTTGTTACACTTTTTTTTTATCATGACATATAAAAACATTAAATTTCTCAATAATATATTGATTGATTAATTCGTTTTTTACGACTTATTAATCATTTACGTAACATATTTTTAAAATGCAGCAATTTGGAGGGGGGCTAATAATGTTTTAGCGATACAAGTCTTACTAGTTAACCCATATCGGGGGGGAGAAGCGGTGGATTCATATCTTTCCCAATAGTGTTTGCATATAAGTGAATATATTCCGAACCATTATTCACTATACCACCATCATCATATCCAAGTTTACATCACCGGTTATCTATAAACGATCACACATCTAGTGGTACTGACCAGGCGCAACATTGCTTAACTTCAGTGATCTTACGAGAACGGGTGTTTCAACGTGATGAGGACGAAAGCCCTTTGGTATCAGCAACATGTTCAAGCTTACAGCACTAGTTATCTCCAAGCGGTCACCCATCTAAGTACTGACCAGGCGCGATGCTGCTTAACTTCAGTGATCGTACGAGAACCGGTGTTCCTACGTGATGTGGTCGTAAGTGCTTCATACCACCCGCACATTCCATCTTACAGCACCTACTATCCACATGCGGTCACCCATCAAGATACAAGCCAGGCCCGACGTTGCTTAACTTCAATGATCGTACGAGAACCGGTGTTTCAATGTAATGTGATCGTAAGGCCTTTATACCATACGCACATCTAATCTTACAACACCTAGTATGCACTTGTGGTCACCCATCTAGATACAGGCCACGCAAGACGTTGCTTAACTTCAGTGATCGTACGAGAACGGGTGTTTCAACGTGATTTGATCGTAAGCCGTTTACACCACCCGCACATCTACTCTTGCAACACCCAGTATCCACATGCGGTCACCCATCTAGATACGGACCAGGCCTGACGTTGCTTTTTCAACGTTTTGTTCAAGTGATCGTATGAGATGTGGCGGTCACCCATCTAGATACGGACCAGGCCTGACGTTGCGTTATCTCAGATGTGGATGTTATCCTATGATGTACCTTACACAGTGCCATCTATGTTTTCGCTGAAGTTATCATTAGAAATTGCTGTACAGCACTACTGCTTTTATTAGAGGTTGACAGAATGATGTTGCTTTATGGATTTGATGATATCGAGACGAGAACTGCGAATTCGAGACATAAAAAGCAAAGCAGATGTAAAAATTGAAATATCTGTATGTTGTGACCAAGTAAATGGTTAAAGAAATAATAAAACAAGTGTTACAGATATATCATATATTAAACAGTAAGTACAACAGAAGACTATTACACGACTCGTGAGTGTGTGTCGGTTGACCCAGCATTCAATCTATTCGACTGTTATATTTAATAGCCCCACCACGAGGGATGTATGCGGCACAAGGCGAAGTTTACCGTGGGTTCTTCGAGCCTGTAGGCTCGGCCAAAAATATTCCCTTAGAACCCGCGTAAACGGGTTCCGGGCCTGTCTACCTCCCCTGACGAAACTTTGCCCTTCGGCAAAGCCTCCTCCAGTTTCCTCTCTGCTCGAGGCAGAGTGTTCGACAGATAAACAATCTATTCGACTGTTAATATTTAACAGTCCCCACCCACGAGGGTGTATGTGGCACAAGGCCGAGTTTACCGTGGTTTCTTCGGGCCCGTAGGCTCGGCCAAAAATATTCCCTTTGAACCTGGCTAAACAGGTTCAGGGCCTGTCTACCTCCCTGGACGAAACTTTGCCCTTCGGCAAAGCTTCGTACGGGATCCTCTCTGAGGCAGAGAGTTCGACAGATGAACAATCTATTCGACTATTCCTCCAAGGCCTTCTCTCCTACTAATCTTATAGTAGGCGAAAGAGTCCAACATAGACTCTTTAGAGGTAGGAAACCACAGTACTTTATCATTATTTTCTCTCGCGGTTCGATGTACGGGGCGCTAGTTTATTTTTTCCGAGACGACATGCAAGGTGGATTTGTTTCTGAAGTTACCTTCTTCAGGTCTTTAGCTAAAGAGGCAAGACCTACAAATTAGCAGGTGGTCTGAATTCAGAGTTTTCTTCCTCCTAGACTGCTTGCTAACCAAGACTATAGGGCCCAGTCTGTCCTGCTATTTACCCATAGATGGGGGAGGAGAGATGGATTCATCAATCGACCAAGCCCGTAATTGAATGCAATATCAGTCAGTTATGTGCTTAGGCGATCATGTATTTTTGGATACGTGACTGACGAGGCAGATTTTTTTCCCGCAGTTGGTTGCCATTTCTTTCTGCGGTAGACCAGTTGCCATCCAAGGCAACAGAACCCAATCCTTCCTGCTATTAACCCATAGCTGGGGAAAAGAAGAAGAGGATTCATACCTTTCCCAAGGGTATTAGCACGTAAGTGAATGCAATGTACACGGCTGTAATTCGAACGCGGCTCTCCAAATCATCAATCCGAGCTGCTATCCATTACTCCACCGTACCTCCATATATTTCCCTATACTAATCTTCGCTACTATTCTAGCATATGACATAGACTTTCTGATATGTATATTTGTTGAAAGAAGGTCACATTCATCTATATACACGCTTGTACCTAGGTATGGCGTGTGTCACGCTTGGTATCACAGATACTGAGAAGAAAGCAGAGAGAGAGAGAGAGAGAGAGAGAGAGCGACATAGAGAGTAAAACAGAAAGAGAGAAGTCGAAAAACAAAAGAGAGACCGACACGGAGAGATATTGGAGAGGGCCATCTTAGATGAAGTAAGTTGTTTGTAGGGAGGGGTTAAATCATGTTTCGTGATTTAACGATCTTTTGAGGACAAATTCGCTGCTAAACTGTAAGTAATCTTCTTTTTTTTTTTTTAAATTAAATCTTTCTTTTAATAATTATAATCATTTTTAATACAATAAAAATAGATGATATTCGTCTAAACAAAAATCATATTAAACCCAGTCTGTGCTGAGCGTTCGGGGGAAAAAATACCTGTGTATTTGGCATAGAGAGTAAAAAAAAAATCGTTAGAGGGACGTATAGAGACAAAAGAGTGTTCGACACGGAGGAATTGGAGGATGAACAATTTACATAAAAGCAGTTGTTTGTAGTGTGGAGTTAAATCTTTTTTTCGTGACTTAAAGACCTGTTGAAGATATTTCAATATTCTTAAAGACAATATGCACTTTTCTTCTATCTGGGAATGGAGATAGGGTTGAAAACTACAGTTGCACATTAAAACAAAATTAGCAAATGCTCGTAAATTACAGGATTTCTGCCTTTTAGATAATTGTAATTCTAATGGCAGGAAGACAAAAATAATTCACGATATCTGGGAAAAAAAGTGACAGTCTAACCACAGCCCGACATTGCAGGCGACAAATCTTTAAAATGTGTTTCTCTGTCATTGTAATTAGTTTAAAATTTATTAAGAAACTGCAGTGCAGTTAAACGAAAAGAAAGCGAATCGAATTAATTCAAATATTTGCAACGCTTTTTAATTGACCAAAATTTGGAAAAGGAAGTCACGTTAAATTTAATTAAAAACTATGCTGATCTGAGGTCACGGTGGAATAGTGGTTTGGTTTGGTTTATTTTACGGTATATCAACCTGAATGGGTCATTTAATGCCGACAACGTCTTTTTTTCCTGGTAATATTTTTGTTTTGTCAAAAATCTATTACTATTAACATTTTTTCCTCAAAAATGTATAGCTTGTAATATTATTTTTTCAAAAACGTAGTGCTGGTAATAGTTTTTTCTTCAAAAACGTATTGATGGTAATATTTTATAATGATTTTTACCTCAGTTTCGGGGTTAACTATTTGCCCATAGCTGGGACCCTAACAGGTGCTACCACCCCGGGTCAGGGTGGACCTGGGAACACCAGCAATTAAGAGGTGGTTCCACGCTCCTCAAAACCTCCTGATGAGAGGCCTTGCTGTTTGACCTAGTTTATCGTCATACCCAGTACACGGATGTAGTTTATCGTCATACCCAGGACGCGGATGTAGTTTATCGTCTTGCCCAGGGCGCGGATGTAGTTTATCGTCATACCCAGGACGCAGATGTAGTTTATCATCATACCCAGGACGCAGATGTAGTTTATCGTCATACCCAGGACGTGGATGTAGTTTATCGTCTTACCCAGGGCGCGGATGTAGTTTATCGTCATACCCAGGACGCAGATGTAGTTTATCGTCATACCCAGAACGAGGATGTAGTTTATCGTCTTACCCAGGACGCGGATGTAGTTTATCGTCTTACCCAGGACGCGGATGTAGTTTATCGTCATACCCAGAACGTGGATGTAGTTTATCGTCATACCCAGAACGTGGATGTAGTTTATCGTCTTACCCAGGACGCGGATGTAGTTTATCGTCTTACCCAGAACGTGGATGTAGTTTATCGTCATACCCAGGACGCAGATGTAGTTTATCGTCATACCCAGAACGTGGATATAGTTTATCGTCTTACCCAGGACGCGGATGTAGTTTATCGTCATACCCAGGACGCGGATGTAGTTTATCATCATACCCAGGACCCGGTGGAGTAGTGGATAGCAGCTCTGAATGAAGAATCGGAAAAGCCGTGTTCAAATTCAACTCGTGTTCATTAAATTCACATACGTGCTAATAATCTTGGAAACGATACGAATCCATCTCATATTCCAACAAATATTGGTAAATAGCATGCTAGACAGGTTCCTATAGCCTTGAATGGCAATGAGTCTAGGAGAAAGGACAAATCAGAATTCAAAATCTGAGGGACAAGTTTCCTCCCCTAATAACTATAAGTAATAGGAGGACAGACTCGGTACTATAGCCTTGGATGGCAACGGGTTTGGGAGAGATGACAACTCTAAATTCAAAACACGATGAGGATTTTTACCCCCACCGCTAGCTATGGCTAAATAGCAGGACAGACTCGGTCCTATAGCCTTGGATGGCAACCGGTCAGGAAGAAAAGACTACTCTGAATTCAAAACATGAGGAGGGTTTTGTTCCCTCCACCGCTAGCTATGGGTAGATAGCAGGGTAGCTTCGGTCCTATAGCCTTGGATGGCAACCGTTCTATGAGAAAGGGCAACTCTTAATTCAAATCATGAACAGGTTTTTGCCCCCTCCACCGCTAGCTATGGACAAATAGCGGGACAGACTGTGTCTTCTCCACTTGTTTGACTGGCAAACAATTTAGAAGAAAGAGAACTCTGAATTAAAATATGGCTGAGAACGGTTGGGCACTGTATGTCCATCTTACCCAGGAGACACCGCTTTCTCGCGGCTGCAGTTCGTGTGGCGTCTCTATGGCGGGTCTCGTGGTGCAGATCTGGATACAGCTGGCATTGTGTTGTCTAACAGTCACTTGTGAACAGACTTCATATCTTTGCAACTTTTTAAAACCAATTTACATTATTGCTTCATTTTAAACATTTTTTTGTTTAAACCTAATTCCGTTATTGCTTCGCTGTTATTTTTGCAAATTATTTTTAACTTTAATATAAATGTAAATTAGATATGTGTGATGAGAATATTCGTGAATTATTGTAAAACCATTTATAATGTATAAATTAGCGAAAACCTGGAAAGTTTTTTATACAATGTATTTGGATCTATTTCTAACAGTCAGTCAGTTATGTACCATGCCATATTTCTATACATGACTGACGAGGCAGATTTTTTCCCCGCTGTAGGTTGCCGTTTCTTTCTACGGTAGACCAGTTGCCATCCAAAGCAACCCGGTCTGTCCTGCTATTTAACCATAGCTGGGGGAGAAGAAGAGGATTCATACCTGTCCCAAGGGTATTAGCACGTAAGTGAATGTCAATGGAATTCGAACTCGGCTCTCCAATTCCTCAATCC